CTTCAAAACTACGTTGAATAATGGTGGTGAGAGTGGGCAACCTTGTCTTGTTCCTGATCTTAGTGGGAATGGTTTCAGTTTTTCACCATTGAGGATGATGTTGGCTGTGGGTTTGTCATATATGGCCTTTATTATGTTGAGGTAAGTTCCGCCTATGCCTACTTTCTGGAGGGTTTTTATCATAAATAGGTGTTGAATTTTGTCTAAAGCTTTCTCTGCATCTGCATCATTGAGATGATGCATCTGCATCATTGGGATGATCATATGGTTTTTCTCCTTCAGTTTGTTAATATGGTGTATCATGTTGATTGATTTGCATATGTTGAAGAATCTTTGCATTCCTGGGATAAACCCCACTTGATCATGGTGTATCCTTTTAATGGTGATCCTTTTAATGTGCTGTTAGATTCTGTTTGCTAGTATTTTGTTGAGGATTTTTGCATCTATGTTCATCAGTGATATTGGCCTGTAGTTTTCTTTCTTTGTGACGTCTTTGTCTGGTTTTGGTATCAGGGTGATGGTGGCCTCATAGAATGAGTTTGGGAGTGTTCCTCCCTCTGCTATACTTTGGAAGAGTTTGAGAAGGATAGGTGTTAGCTCTTCTCTAAATGTTTGATAGAATTTGCCTGTGAAGCCATCTGGTCCTTGGCTTTTGTTTGTTGGAAGATTTTTAATCACAGCTTCAATTTCAGTGCTTGTGATTGGTCTGTTCATATTTTCTATTTCTTCCTGGTTCAGTCTTAGAAGGTTGTGCATTTCTAAAAATTTGACCATTTCTTTAAGGTTGTCCATTTTATTGGCACACAGTTGCTTGTAGTGATCTCTCATGATCCTTTGTATTTCTGCAGTGTCAGTTGTTACTTCCCCTTTTTCATTTCTAATTCTATTGATTTGAGTCTTCTTCCTTTTTTTCTTGATGAGTCTGGCTAATGTTTTATCAATTTTGTTTATCTTCTCAAAGAACCAGCTTTTCGTTTTATTGATCTTTGCTATCATTTCCTTCATTTCTTTTTCGTTTATTTCTGATCTGATCTTTATGATTTCTTTCCTTCTGCTAACTTTGGGGGGTTTTTGTTCTTCTTTCTTTAATTGCTTTAGGTGTAAGGTTAGATTGTTTATTTGTGATGTTTCTTGTTTCTTAAGGTGGGATTGTATCACTATAAATTTCCCTCTTAGAACTGCTTTTGCTGCATCCCATAGGTTGTGGGTTGTTTTGTTTTCATTGTCATATGTTTCTAGGTATTTTTTGATTTCCTCTTTGATTTCTTCAGTGAACTCTTGGTTATTAAGTAGTGTGTTGTTTAGCCTCCATGTGTTTGTATTTTTTACAGATTTCTTCCTGTAATTGATATCTAGTCTCATAGCGTTGTGGTCAGAAAAGATACATGATACGATTTCAGTTTTCTTAAATTTACCAAGGCTTGATTTGTGACCCAAGATATGATCTATCCTGGAGAATGTTCCATGAGCACTTGAGAAGAATGTGTATTCTGTTGTTTTTGATGGAATGTCTTATAAATATCAATTAAGTGCATCTTGTTTAATGTATCATTTAAAGCTTGTGTTTCCTTATTATTTTCATTTTGGATGATCTGTCCATTGGTGAAATTGGAGTGTTAAAGTCCCCTGCTATGATTGTGTTACTGTTGATTTCCTCTTTTATAGCTCTTAGTAGTTGCCTTATGTATTGAGGTGCTCCTATGTTGGGTGCATATATATTTATAATTGTTATGTCTTCTTCTTGGCTTGATCTCTTGATCCTATGTAGTGTCCTTCTTTGTCTCTTGTAATAGTCTTTGTTTTAAAGTCTATTTTATCTGATATGAGAATTGCTACTCCAGCCTTCTTTTGATTTCCATTTGCATGGAATATCTTTTTCCATCCCCTCACTTTCAGTCTATATGTGTCCCTAGTTCTGAAGTGGGTCTCTTGTAGACAGCATATATATGGGTCTTGTTTTTGTATCCACTCAGCCAATCCATGTCTTTTGGTTGGAGCATTTACTCCATTTACATTTAAGGTAATTATTGATATATATGTTCCTATTACCATTTTCTTAATTGTTTTGGGTTTGTTATTGTAGGTCTTTTCCTTCTCTTGTGTTTCCTGCCTAGAGATGTTCCTTTAGCATTTGTTGTAAAGCTGGTTTGATGGTGCTGAATTCTCTTAACTTTTGCTTGTCTGTAAAGATTTTAATTTCTCCGTCAGATATGAATGAGATCCTTGCTGGGTAAAGTAATCTTGGTTGTAGGTTTTTCTCCTTCATCACTTTAAATATGTCCTGTGACTCCCTTCTTGCTTGCAGAGTTTCTGCTGAAAGATCAGCTGTTAACTTTATGGGGATTCCCTTATGTGTTATTTGTTGTTTTTCCCTTGCTGCTTTTTTGTTTTTGTTTTTGTTTTTTGCGGTACGCGGGCCTCTCACTGTTGTGGCCTCTCCCGTTGTGGAGAACAGGCTCCGGATGCACAGGCTCAGTGGCCATGGCCCACGGGCCCAGCCTCTCTGCAGCATGCGGGATCTTCCCAGACCGGGGCACGAACCCATGTCCGCTGCATCGGCAGGCGTACTCTCAACCACTGAGCCACCAGGGAAGCCCTCCCTTGCTGCTTTTAATGTTTGTTCTTTATATTTAATTTTTGATAGTTTGATTAATACGTCTCTTGGCATGTGTCTCCTTGGATTTATCCTGTATGGGACTCTCTGTTCTTCCTGGACTTGATTAACTATTTCCTTTCCCATATTAGGGAAGTTTTCCACTATAATCTCTTCAAATATTTTCTCAGTCCCTTTCTTTTTCTCTTCTTCTGGGACCCCTATAATTTGAATGTTGGTGTGTTTAATGTTGTCCCAGAGGTCTCTGAGACTGTCCTCAATTCTTTTCATTCTTTTTTCTTTATTCTGCTCTGCAGTAGTTATTTCCATGATTTTATCTTCCAGGTCACTTATCCATTCTTCTGCCTCAGTTATTCTGCTATTGATCCCTTCTAGAGAATTTTTAATTTCATTTATTATATTGTTCATCCCTGTTTGTTTGCTCTTTATTCTTCTGGGTCCTTGTTACACGTTTCTTGTATTTTCTCCATTCTATTTCCAAGATTTTGGATCATCTTTACTATGATTATTCTGAATTCTTTTCAGGTAGACTGCCTATTTCCTCTTCATTTGTTAGGTCTGGTGGGTTTCTACCTTGCTCCTTCACCTGCTGTTTGTTTCTCTGTCTTCTCATTTTGCTTAACTTACCGTGTTTGGCGTCTCCTTTTCACAGGCTGCAGGTTTGTAGTTCCCATTGTTTTTGGTGTCTGTCCCCAGTGCCTAAGGTTGGTTCAGTGGGTTGTGTAGGCGTCCTGGTGGAGGGGACTGGTGCCTGTGTTCTGGTGGATGAGGCTGGATCTTGTCTTTCTGTTGGGCAGGTCCACGTCTAGTGGTGTGTTTTGGGGTGTCTATGGCCTTATTATGATTTTAGGCAGCCTCTCTGCTAATGGGTGGGGTTGTGTTCCTGTCTTGCTAGTTGTTTGGCATAGGGTGTCCTGTACTGTAGCTTGCTTGTCGTTGAGTGGAGCTGGGTCTTGGTGTTGAGATGGAGATCTCTGGGAGATTTTTGCCATTTGATATTACATGGAGCTGGGAGGTCTCTTGTGGACCAGTGTCCTGAACTTGGCTCTCCCACCTCAGTGGCACAGCCTTGATGCCTGGCCGGAGCATCAAGAGCCTGTCCTCCACATGGCTCAGAATAAAAGGGAGGAAAAAAAGAAATAAAGAGAGAAGATAAAATAAAATAAAATAAAGTAAAATAAAGTGATTAAAATAAAAAATAATTATTAAGAAAAAAATGTTTTAAGTAATAAAAGAAAGAAAAAAACAAACAAACGGACAAACAGAACCCTAGGACAAATGGTAAAAGCAAAGCTAGACAAAATCAAGAGAAGATAAAATAAAATAAAATAAAGTAAAATAAAGTGATTAAAATAAAAAATAATTATTAAGAAAAAAATGTTTTAAGTAATAAAAGAAAGAAAAAAACAAACAAACGGACAAACAGAACCCTAGGACAAATGGTAAAAGCAAAGCTATACAGACAAAATCACACACAGAAGCATACACGTACACACTCACGAAAAGAGAAAATGGGAAATAAATAAATAAATAAATAAATAAATAAATAAATATATATATATATATATATATATATATATATCATTGCTCCCAAAGTCCACCTCCTCAATTTAGGATGATTCGTTGTTTATTCAGGTATTCTACAGATGCAGGGTACATCAAGTTGATTGTGGAGATTTAATCCGCTGCTCCTGAGGCTGCTGGGAGAGATTTCCCTTTCTCTTCTATGTTTGCACAGCTCCTGGGGTTCAGCTTTGGATTTGACCCCACCTCTGAGTGTAGGTCACCTGAGGGCGTCTGTTCTTCACTCAGACACAATGGGGTTAAAGGAGCAGCTGATTCGGGAAAGCCTGCAACTAGAGAAAGCCTGCGTGCATCAACCAAGACCCAACGCAGCCAAAAAAAAAAAAAAAAAAATGTTAATTGCTTAGACCCAGTAATAGGAAAATAACATTATGCTAAGAAACGTGCATTGCATTGTTCTTTATAATAGCAAACATCATTGGCATGTCCAGTGATGGGGAAATAGTTAAATTTGACATTTCCAAGGAGTGGTTCCATTATCTAACAAATGCTAAGTATGAATAACATAAGACTATGTTAAATAGAAAAGAAAGAAGAATCTGGATCCAAAATTGTTAGATGATATGACCACAAATATATAAAAAGTGCAAAGGAAAAAAACTGAGGGAAGTGTCAAGGGATGATCTTTGTGAGTGTGGAGGAAAGTTTTGAGTAACGCTTTCCTGCACTGGTATTCCAGATTCCCTAAAGTGAATGTTAATAACAATGGCAGCAACATCTTCAGCAAAACCAACTAACTAGATACTTCTCTGCTTCTTTGGCTAATATGTCTCAAAAGCTACTTTTGGTCTCCCCTGCACAGTTTGAAAACCTGAACACGGTTGCTGAGTGTTTGTTTTCTCTGGTCAACGGTGATGACATGTATGCGACCTTTGCTCACATCCAGCAGAAGAGCCTCTTGGTGTGGCTGTTCAGTCGCCTGTATTTATATTCCTTCATCAGTCTTTTCATATATATGATTCTCAGCCTTTTCATTGCAATTATTACAGATTCTTATGACACCATTAAGGTAAGCAGTTATTATTTCCTGCCAAAAAACGATTGCAAATTCTGTATAGATCAGAACATGGGAAAATACTATAATATTTTACTTACTTAAAATACTGTAGTTTTACTTAGATTTTGAGGTTTTGTAGAAAAGAAACTTTTTAGATGCTGGAGGTTAATTTAAATATGCATTTAGGACATTGTCCCTGGTGCCCGGTGGATTGGTTTGGAGGTGTGGTGGGAAAGAGAAAGGAAATGGGTAAAGATGGGCTGAGTTTGGTAAATCAAGTAGTTGGGCTGTCGGTCTTGGCACTGACAGGTGTACCTGCCTGTCCCGGAACTTAGACTTTGAGTAGTAAGTTTCAGCGATAAGGGGTGACCGTCATCCTGACAAATGTCCAGATATTGGCATACCTTATACACCGGATGCCGCTCGTGTGGTGCAGGTTTCCTTTACATTTTGAAAGCTAAGGCTTTTGTGGCTGTCTAGCTTCCTGCCTTCCTAAGCCACCCGGTGAGTTGTGTGTCCTTTCAGACTAGGTCCATTTAACTTATGTGTAGCATGAAGGAAGCTCTGCTGCCTCAGGGGCAGTGGTGTCTCCGCAGCAGATGGTCATGCTCAGAAAATCCTGTTTCGGGACCAGCGTCTGAGCAACCAGGGGTGCCATGTCCGTGTCTTGGGGTGTTGTCCTCTTCTTGAACTCTTCTCAGACTATCTCAGAAGAAGCCAGTCCATTGGAAATAATTCTGAGCACTTTGTGCGCAAGGAGATGCGTGTTCCTGTGGGAATGGGTGGTTGGCTTCACAGCGGGGCTGGCCGTGGGGAGATGAGCAGTGCCCTGCTCACCGTGGGAGCCTGTCCTTGACGCGGCTGTGTCCCCGTGAGTGCGCCAAGCCTCAGTGACCTGGTGGATGACCTCACTAAGTGTGAGGGGAGGGATCTCTCAGGGTCTTTATGTCTGCTTGAAGGGACCTATACTGCCTTCTACCTCACTAAGTGACCAACTTCCACAAAAGTGGAGGAAATAGGGATTACTTCCCAGCCAGGCTCTATGGGCAGTGTGGGGAAGAGGAGGTCTTACCTGGTTTTGCAATTAACATGAAAGCTTTAGACTTCTATTTCCTTCACTCCTTTAATTAACACACCTCTCCCCTGCCCCACCATGGCTTGATTTCTGGAGTTTTCCTCTGGATGGCTCTCTGTTCAAGCCATGGTGACCCTGGCTTGGCTTTCAAGGGACTGATAGATTGATTGATGATTGATGATTGTTAATGTCAGTTCCTGGATCTGTGCTAGCAACGTGGGAGAGTTTTATTTTAGCAGAGATGGGTTTGGTTTGTTGACAAGAAGCAATTTCTCTCAGTATAACTAAGGTAACAGCACTGTGTACTTTTTAAAGAAATACCAACAGAATGGGTTTCCTGCCACGGATCTTCAGGAATTCCTGAAGGAGTGTGGTAGCAAAGAGAAGTGTCAGAAAGAGTCATCAGCCTTCCTGTCCTGCATCTGCTGTCTGAGGAGGTCAGTACTGTGTTCAGTTGGGTCTCTGTGCTCCCGGGATGAGACGCCCTGCTGCCTTAACAAAGGGTCCTCCCAGGTCAAATGCTACACTCAGGAGTCAGCTCACTGGGGGAAATAATGCATCCCTCCTTGCTTTCCTCCCACTGTAATAGTTGACTTTAGAAATGAATTGTTTCTTATAGAACAAGGTAGAAAGGTACATGACATGGTTGAAATCTCTTGGGAATATTATGAGACTGTTTTGAGAAGGCATGAGCTATGTCCCTGAAGTCGAGAGGGTGAGCTGGCCAAAGGAAGAGGTCAAAGCCCTTCTTTTTAGAGATGGAGCTCTGGGAACGTCAAAGGTGTTTTCCCCTTTTCGCAATCTGTAGTCCAAATAACCTTCCTTGAGCAGAGCAGGAAACCTGCTTGAGAGGAAGCCATACGTGTCCTTGGCTGCAAACACAAATCAGCTGGTCACCTGCTGTTTGCTCGCCATTCATCAGTGCACGTGCAAAAATAGTCTGGACCTCAGTGGCAAAGCCTCCACATAGTGGCTTGGGGACTAGAAAGGGGGTCAGATGAGGATAATTTTTTAAATTATGCCCATGTTTGTTTTCGTCTGAAGTCAGGAGTAGGGGTTGTTAACTGCAAGTACCCCCTACTCATGTGTTTCGAGAAGGATTCTCTAAACCAGATTCCTGAAGGAAGATGGGAGAACATAATTGCTACTTAAAATCGCAGGATGTATTTTCCGTTAATCAATTCATACTGCAACTTGGGATTTGAAATGGTATGTTGGAGCATTTCCAAAGAATGTCTGGTAAATATGAAATGAGGTCTTCTGAGAAGAGTTAAGTTTTTACAGTCACAGTTTATCCTCTCAGAGCATTAAAGTGTTGCCATGGAAGCAAGGATAAAGGGAAATTACTTTTCTTTATAGGCAGCTGCCTCCTAGGAGGCATCTTGTATTATAAGGAAAGTCTCTCAAAGTTGCTTTTCTAATATGTAGTTAACTGTAAAGAAGGGGGAAGAAAAAGCATTTGAGAATGTAGTTGTGAATTCTAGAAAGTAATGGATAGGTTTTGGTGTTTGATTTTTGGGCCTCAGTTTATACCACAAAAAGCCCTGGGAGGTTGTTAAATGATTTCTTTGCAGCCATATGGAATGAGTGAAAGATTTAAGGAGTGAACTTGGAAGACTGAGTGATAAGATCGGACCTGAGTGGTGAGAAGAACAGAGCAACGTCAGCAGACAGTCTTCCCTAAGACATGCTACGGGTTGTAGAGAGGGTGCCTGGTGCGGAGGCAGGTCTGCCCATCGTGAGGAATGAAAGGATTAAATGGAACAGTAGAGTCCCCCAAAGGAAATCAGCTGAAGAACTAAGATGCTGAAAGTTTTGTAAAAAGAGGATATCAAAAATAAAAACAGGAGTGGCTGAAGTTGGTCATGGGTGAAGTCAGCTAGATCAGTTTTAGCTGAATAATCAGATCAAAGCCTGGAACGTAGGGCGGTCTGGATGGATCTTGCAGACAGTCAATGAGGGTCATAGGGCCTGATGAAGGAAATGGGTTGTACTGGGGCCTTGGAACAAGTGATGGCTTTGAAATCACCAAAAATTAAATACACCTGGATGTGTTTAACAGCCGGAAACCTAAGAATGGAATAAAATTGAGGAAGGCTATGAATGGAGAGTACGTACTGGAGACAGACCTCACTGAGGGAACCTGGGGAATAAGGGCATCATAAGACTTGGTGTCTGGGCCCCTCTTCAGTGCCCATGACATACAACCCAGCTATCACAGCTCCACCTACTCTGGAGTGTGGCCGGGTTGCTCTTTTTCAACCAAGCAGTCCAGCAACCACCACAGATTCAATCTCCCACAGACTGATTCTCCCTTGAATAGTTGACTGAGCCCCTAGCCTGATGGTCAGAACACCTGGATTTTCGTCTTGGACCCTCTGCCAATTACTGAATGTGTCCCCTGACCTCTCCTAAACCTCTTGGTTCCTCCAGTGTCATCAGAGTGGAACAGGTAGCCTCTGCAACCTCTTCTAGTTCTAACGTGATCTGGTTCTTGGGAGAGATGTGCTTGGTTGAGCAGATGCAGAGTTAACCTTTCTCCTTCTCTACCACAAGGAGGAAAATCTGCGGTTCTAGCCATTGAGAAGCTTTGTCAAAGGGAGATGGAGGGTAGACAGCTCCTCAAAATTACCAAAAGCATCTAGTCAAACCCCCAATAATGTAAATTGTCCTTCTTAAGTTTTCTTCCTCTTAAATGTCACACTCAGCATGTTAATAACCTACGTATGCCTACATGATAGAGTATGTATTTCTGTGCCGTCTCAAAGATTTTTAAGCCATTGTTCTCTTTTCTCTTTCCTTGTCTTCCTTTTCTATTACAGGAATGGAAGCGATGACCACTTGATGCTTATTAACTAAAATTCTCCTGCTGAAGATAACCGAGTTCAGGTCTCCGTATCAAGTGACAATCAACCCCAAATGGCTTGGACCAGCACTTGCAAAAATACTGATTGCGGAGTGGGAAAGAGGACTGGCTATGAGCTGTCTGAATAGAACTGAAGTTTCAAAATTCCTTTTTATAAACTTGGATGATGAAGAATAGACCACAGTCAACTACTGGGCATTAGTGTAATAGAGCAGTGCTGGTGAAATTCTGTATTAGTCTTTTAATTTATGACATCACAGTGTTGGGATGGAAAAAAATCACATTTCAGAGTGTGCAAAACAATGGTGTTTAAAGCCATGCATTTGAAGATATGAGTTTATCATCAAATACGGGTTTGTCTTAAAAGTGATTCTTGGGTTAGAAGACATTTGTTAGTTCATGGTCTGCACAAAACTGAAATTGGTTGCAATAACAATTTAGGCACTCAAAGCTGGAGAACTTTTAAGCCATGTAAAGATTACACTTAAATCAACAAAAAGACCTCTTGCAGTGGACATTTCTTGGCTTATTTTCCTGTGGTCTTCTTCTCAGCATGATATGAAACTATCGGCAAAGTCAGTGGGATAAACTGGAAACAGTCATTTGGACACCTTGTTACTACTTGTGCTAATTGTTGATTGTACACACATGACATGTGGACATTATACTACAGCAGTGGTCACTCATTTTAACAGCCAAACTCCACCGTGGTGGGGATTTACCCTTGTCAAGCAAGGAAGATGGTATTTTTTCCCAAATAAATTAAATTAATTTTTATCATAACATATGGAACTACTACTACTTTTTTAAAATGTATTGTCTCTTAACATCCACTTAGTGAAAAATTCAGATCGCATCTCTATCAGCTATCTGGTCTCCAAAAGGGATTTCCCACTTTCTTAAAAACAGTGAAAGAGATATAGGGACTAGTTATTCAAGAAATATTTATGAGAATGACTTCAGATTAAAATCACTTCATGCATAGATTTAGTTCATACCTGAGCTATTTTAGGGGTCAACTATTTTAAATTTACTGGTGAAGAGTAGGGTTTGAATTAAGTAGGACTGTCATCTCAGGGCTCTCCCTCTTTTTATCTGCCTCTCCACCAAGCCCCTGCCAGAGTCCTTCTGGTGCCCCACTCCTCTCTCCATGCCCCCATAATTTCTTCATGTGCCCACACCAAATCTAGGCCAGGAAATTCTTCCAGTTAAGGCCATTAAAGTCTGTAGGTGGGTGACTCAGGTCTATACACAAAATACTTTGCTAAAATTATCATTTTAGTTATAAACTACTTACCAAAAATGTCAAGAATTATATTCAATTTTTCTTTGTGTGTGTGGTACGCGGGCCTCTCACTGTCATGGCCTCTCCTGCTGTGGAGCACAGGCTCCGAACTCGCAGGCTCAGCGGCTATGGGTCATGGGCCTAGCCGCTCCACGGCATGTGGGATCCTCCCGAACCAGGGCACGAACCCATGTCCCCTGCATTGGCAGGTGGACTGTCAACCACTGCACCACCAGGGAAGCCCTCAATTTTTAAATTAAGAACCATTTAACCCGTGGTTCTAGGGTCATTCCCATGACTCCAAAATCAGTGTGCAGTTAGATCACTTATTCACCTCTGAGTATACCCCCAATACATCATTTATCTCTGAATAGAATTGCTATTAATGCCTTTTATGTAATCTGCCGCTGTGATGCCGCTGTGACTACCATTTGAAGTGAAGATTAATGACGGTCTTCTCTGCTTATATTTTTCTTTTATTGGCTTTCATGTTTCCTTTTATTTCTTTTCCCTCCAGCTGGACAAAACACTTTCAGGAAGAAAAATCTCTTTTCAAGTTTACCCTGTATCTGTGGAAGCATTGTTTTCTCTCTTTTTAATAATTTTAAACAATTGTCACCTTACGAACTGTATTATCTATTTGGATTTTATTGAACAATGTTTTCTCATAACTCTGCTAATAGACACATCTGGGACAATCCACTTTCTCTCCTTCCCTAGGCCTCCACTTGGAGAGTTCACTGTGAAAGTTAGGAGACACATTCTTTCTGCCTATTGGTTTCATTATGGGATCTCCTGTTCTTTTCAAACGTACCTCCTTGGCTTGCAGTGACTTGCTGAAAGCCAGATGCAGCATCCTTAAGCCTGTTGACTTGGGGTGGTAGAAAAGATCATGGGTGTGGAGGACATCTAGACAGACTTGAGTCAAAATCCCAGTTTATCCTGTAGCTTTGGGGCCCTGGTCAAATTACTTTCTGCTTCTAAGTGATGATGACAAACCTTAAACTGTGGGATTGGCATTTAAGTCAGGTAACTCATGCAAAGCCTGGCACTGAATTGAAACTTGAGCCATTCTTTGCTTTTGATTTTCTGCCATGTTTGCAAGTAGGTTCCATGGGATCGTGGAGGAGTGAAGATGTTAAGACATTGAGTCTGCCTGGGTGCCTGTCCTCCTACTATTCGAGTCTCCTTGGACAGGTCATACCAGCCTCAGCTTCCTCCTCTGTAAAGTGGGGCTTGCAAGGATTAAATGAGTCAGATTTAAAGTGAGTAGAGCAGGGCATGACTTATAAGTGCTCAGTGAATGTTAGATCTTCAAAAAGCTTTTCTTTCACGGTCTACAAATGTACAAATATATCACCTGGGCCAGCCAGGAAGATCTTTGCTTTGAAGTGAGCTCATCACACACTGTTGGTGGACTTTGTTAGGACTCTGAGTGTGTAGACACCCATATCCAGCCCTGTCCTGGAGGCAGCGATCAATTCAGCGTCTAAAGTTCACGCAGTTTTTACAGGAGCCTATGGACATGAACAGCCTAAATGCCTTGCCTTCAGGGGCAAAGCTGTCAGTCCTGATGAGAGGGTAAAATTCCCCGAGGTGCACAAATGTCGCGAATCCCCAGTCCTTCACCTTGGGTGAGACCCTCTGTCCTCAGCTAGGAGCCCCACTGTCTCAACCAAATTTGTCAGAATGTGTGACGTACAGGTCAGCTCTTGCTGATCTGAGGTAGCAAATGTGAAAAGGCGAGAAAGGGTATTTAGGAAAAGGTCTTCAAGAGATTCCAGTCACCGTCTCCAACCCCTGCTGAAGGCTCACATCATAACAATCGTGGGAGGGTTGCCTGACCCACCCTCCTGCCCGAGGAGACCTAGGCTTAGCATCTAAGGTTTATGAAAAGCACAGTGATCCAGCCTCTTGATTTAGAGGTTACTAGCCAGTCACCTTATAGTGCCCGAGGGCCTCCCTGTAAAAATAGCCCAGCACTGTCATTGAGGTTCAGGGGCCCTAGAGTCATTGGGAAAGTATGTTCCCCGAACTGCTACTATGGTCTTGGCCATGGATTGCTCCTGATGATATGAAGGGCCGTGATGCTTAGAGATACGATTCCAGATATCTGTATCACTCGTGTGTCGGCCACTTATTCCAATAACATTGAATAACTAGACCCCATTTTACTACTCACTGGTTCACCTTTATTTTCATGTAACTTGAGCAAATCTTATTTTGCTACCCCTGACTTGAAGTTTGAACATCTCGACCACGGTATTCCAATGACACAGAGTCTTCCTCTAACAAATATCTAGAATTTCACATAATTGTAGAACATGCACGAAGTCGCTCTTGTGTGACAGGATGATTGAGGACCTCACAGGCGAAACCCTAAGCGCAGCATCCTGATCTTAGGCACTTTAGGAAGGACAGCGAATGATGGCCTGGGAACTGGTGCTGGAGCTCGTGCTGAACACCTCTGCCTCCCCTCCTTGTTTTTTTTCTAATTGAGAGGTTCCGAGCTCTCAGTGCTGATAAAAGGCAGCTTCGTGGCTGTGTGACCTGTGCATCTGAAAAGGTTTAATGCTCTGCCCTCAGAGTCTTGAAATTCTCAATATTTTTTTAACAGAGGGCCTCACAAGCTATGTAGCAAATTCTGATGATGGGACTGTATAACTCAGCGACTAACAAAATGATTAAAGCATGGCCTTTTAGGAAAAGACTAGGATCCCAGCCTTGTACATTTTCTTTAAAACAATTGAAATGTAACAAAAGGAAAGAGTGAAGCTGAGTGGGAATACTTTTTAACAGACTTTTGGGTGCACCATTTTTCTCAGTTTCTATTCTTGCAAGTAAGTGGCTGTGGGGCTTCTTCTCATCTCACATCTTTGTTTCACAGATTAAACTACTGTGGTTGGTGATATTGGCCAATATCATTTCCATGTCACACTGGCAGGTTGGAGCTGGGCTGCTCACCTTTACCCCCTTCCCTGTGCACCACCCTGCCCCCTACCCCCCATCAATGAAGAGCCTCATTTTCCAAATTTCCACTTTATGTTTTTCCCTTGACAAAGAATCAGCTTAGGGTGGTTCTTCTAAACTCGAGCATGTTTGCCTAGCTGCCATATGACCTTCCACCTTGCTCAGCAAAGTCCTTTGGGACCTGCTCCACCCACTGGATAGTCAAGCCCTCGCTCCAAGGTCTTTGCAGGCATTTGCTTTTAGAATGAAGGACCCATCTTTGAATGGGAAGCCGTAGAATTGTTCAGTGTGCTGTGTATTGGAGAAAATAACATAGTAGCACTGGGAAGACTTCAAGATGAACCAGATCTCAAAACAGACACTCAAGTTGTTAGGGAAAAACAATACAACTCACGGCAATTCTACCATAGGCTCATTTACAGCAAATAAGGCTGCAAACCAGAGGATGAAACTGATGGCCAATGTTTCTCTTGCCATCTGTCTCTGCCAGAGAACCAGGGAGTGAACAAGGAGATAAATGGGTACACATGAACATTTCCACACCACCTTTTGTAATAAGGACAGCAAAACTGACTTCTTAAGGATCCCTGGGAGCTATCAGCTGTGGTGGATGGAAAAGACAATTTGTTAGCGTGATATATGTTCCTTAGTTTCTAATGATACATAAATTATCCCATGAGCCATGATACATATGGTTTACAGAGAATTTTAAATGAAAGCAATTTTTTTTTTCTAGCAACACTAATTGCCTAGCAGCAGTAAATTACTCATCCCCCGCTTTCCTGTGGGCTACGGTCATTACTCTCTCCTGGCGGTTGAGCCCATGTCCCCCAAGAGAAATGTTTGCTTTGACAGAGTGAATTTACATCCTCACTTGTGAGCCTGCCATGCCGGGTCTACAGAAGGAGAGGGTATTAATAATGCCTGATTTCAGACCTAGGACTGAGTGTTTGTGTTATCCTGCATGTGTTATCTATGAAAACAGGACAGTGTGTTGGGTCTTAGCTCTTGGCTGCCTTTGGAGAAAAATCAGGGAGCTGCTATCAATATTTAATCTTTTCCAGCTTGGGGGTTTAAAAGGTAGACTTAGATAAGAAACATGGACATTTCCAGGATGACAAGTTAAGCAAGGGAAGTAATAAGCACCATTAATTTTGGGAAATATCAGATAATGACGTGTGTAGATGGAAAATGGTGATGCTATTAAGGACTGTAATTCAATACATATTTGTTGATTTCCAACA